TACCACGCTTTCTTGGGAGACGGGATTCAGTGCCTTCACATCTACTTAGACGGGGAACATCGTACTATGATTTCAGCGTCCTAGCTTTTCAGATCCCCGAGTTATGAACTTACCCGAAAAATTCTTCGCCGGCCCCGTTCGCGAGTACCAGGCTTACCAGAGGGACGGTTTTCCGTGCATCAACGTCTTACTTGGACGGTGAACATCCTCCAAAGATTCCAGCGTTCTAGCTTCTCAGATTCCGGAGTTATGAACTTACCCGAAAAAATCTTCCCCGCCCCCGTACGCGAGTACCACGCTAAGCAGGGGCCCACCAATACCCGGTTGTGCGGGGAACATTATCCCAAGATTTCAGCGTTCTAGCTTCTCAGATCCTCGAGTTATGAACTGACTTAAAAAACTTTGGCGGGCCCATACGCGGATGCCACGCGGGTTTTGGCGCCCATTTTGGGGACTGGGGGCGGCACATGCATGTAGAGCCCCGCAGTTTTTATGGGTCCTGAGATGAAAGTGCGTAACAGAAGCACACACAGACACACGGACGCACAGATAACCTCTCGTCAATATGCGTTTTTCGCGTTGCATTGCTGCAGAAAACGCATAAGAACTAACATGGAACCATATCCTCAATCCGAATGGTGTAAAATTTAACCAGTGTTCACGAAGATAGCGTGCTGCGGTTATCGCCGATGCTACCAACCACATCCATGCAAAAATCATCAGTATTCCTCAAATTTAAAGAAATTTACTGAGACCGCCTTCAGTGGAGGGTCATTTCATCCTGAACACTAACGAACAACCAGCAAAAGTTCGGCTGAGGTAGATTTCAATATCCAAATCTGTGTTTTATGGTAATCATTTCGTATTTATGGCAGCCATTTCGGAAATTTTCTCAGTTAGCTCAATCTAAGCCGTATAAGCCATTAGCATAGCTAAAGAGAAGGCGAGAGTTGGTACCGAGAGGAAAAAAACTCTTTTCTGGGAAATTCAGGACAAAGATCTTCCAAAAATATTAGTGACAATTTACCACTTTACAGATTTGCCTTGCCCGTGCCAGGGAAACATCCTTTTGATCATTTTAAGGGACGAAAAAATTACCGTGTAAGAGAACAAATAGACGCTTTGAATTTGGCTTTTGTTTAGCAACGGGAACAACTGAATGCACATCTGCTAATGCTGCAACATTGACCGGAGTGGAGATGAAAGTTGGAAAATCCTTGGAATTGGCATCCAGAGAATGAATTGAAACCTCTAAAGCGTACAAATTTAAGAAGCATTCCAGCGAGAATGAAGCTTACGGCGTTTGATAGATGCATTTGTATGGGTAGCAATGTATGTTTCCTCCCTCGCTGTAAACATAGAAAAAGCCATATGTGCGGGTAAGAAAGAAAATCATCAGTAGAACTCCAAAATTAAGGCAATTACCAGGAAGTGGAGAAAAACATTAGCTGTTTCTACTTGCGCTAAAGCTGAAAAGTATAAATTATATGTGCAGATCGCTAACAACAGGAATGGTCTAACGCTGTAGTTCAACATTGGACTCATATTGACTATGTTTTGGCGTTTTCCCCCGTGCAAGGACAAAGAGCGTCGACTGGAGTGAAAACTGTGTTGCTTCGTGGGGTCGCACGAACGTTTATTGTATCAGTGCACTGAGAATGACGAACAGTGGTCATGAAAATTTTATTGGGGATTAAAGAAACATCAGGATTAGGCTAATTATAACATCCAGTTAATTAAATGAAAGATTTTAAAGTA